CTCAATTTCTAAATGACTAATTATCACTTTCCAACACTTGAACTGACACGCTCCCTTCTCTTATATACTCACACTCAAGTTTCAGAGAACTGAATTGAATTAGTTGTTTTTATTTGTGCATCACAGCAAAATGGGCAGCAAGAGAGCTGAGGATTGAGAATGATTGCAGCACTCTGCTGCAATGCAGTTCAATCTACAGTATCTGCTCACTTCTAAATGATACTGCTCCATCAAAAACATGGGCTTTCTCTAAGCTGCTGGCGTTGTAAATCTGGTAGCTTTGCCAGCAGGCGCATTTAGCCTACCCTGAATGGAGCTCTGTTTGCACATGTAGACCACCTATGAAGATAGTGTGTCTCTGATTCACCTGTCCACCTGGGAGGTGCTTCTCGCTAACCAAGTGAACACCTGAGCCTTTGTGCTTTTCTGCTTCTTTTCATCCTCTTGTGTCCCTCTCCAAATGACTGAGAGGGAGCAAAGTGACTATTTTTGAGTAAATGTGTGTGCAAGAGGCAGCCAGAGAGTGGGTGATGAAGCAAAAGAGCTGATATCAAATCTAATTCATTTCCACGCAGATATATAGCTGTTTCAGGATAATTAGAAGCCAGCGTGAAAAGAAGAAAGGATTATTCTCTTTATCATCATTCGTTTAATTGGTTGAAAATAAAGAAGGTTTGCAGCACTACACATTCACGAAGAGACGAGTATTTACATCAAGCCTCTTTTAAGCCTGTTGGACAAAAGTAGCAACAAACAGCACCAAAACCAGAGTTGAAGAAATACAACAGAAATGCACACACAAAAAAATCTGCCACCAAATTTCTGCAAATTATCTGTTGTACCAGCTGTGGATTCTTCATGCATGACGAGGTCTAAAGACCACAGTTTGATGAGGAGAACTTCATCCGGCTTATCAGTTGATTGCCAAGCTCAGTGATGCGCTATGTGGAATAACATGAGGTGGACATGAGGTGAAAAGCCCACAATTACAGTACACGATTCAGTAGGTCAAGTAAGGTCAAACTGGTTGCGTCTCTTTAATTATAGTGTCTTATAAATGCTTATAGATGCTGTTTTGTTTTGCTTTTTGTCAATTGCAGTTACAATTTCTTCACAGACAATTTCTTTAGTAATTCCCCAGGACAGTTTTTTAATAAGATTAAATTCAAAACTGACTAATTAAACATCCTGCTGTTAGTAACTCTTACACATTATCATTATTATCATCTCACTACTGGTGGTAATGTTAAATTATAAATGACATATTATAGGAAATAAAGACAGGAGTGTGGGAGAGGCTCCAAATCTTGAGGAATCTGGGTGACGCAAATGTTGTCACAGATGAGAAAATTATCTTTTTTTAAGACTCCCTCAAGGGTCATTGAAGGCAACTCAACTTTAAGTCCTCCCCCTTTTCTAATCGTAAGATGTTAAAATACACTGTGAGCTGACACAGCCTGGATCACCATACCGGACGTGAGAAAGCAGTGATCCAAAGGAGTAAGCTATACAAGGCATGGGAAAGCAGGAATGCTATCAACACTAACGCACATATGCACTCACACACATGCACAAACAGTATAGTATGCCAGAGCACCAATTAGGGCATTAATGGCTGTGGGAAACAAAAGTGTATACTCTCTTTCTCTCCCTCTCTCTGTCTCTCTCTCTCTCACACACACACACACACACACACACACAC